TTCGTACTCCTTTAACTTCATTTATAAGATGAGCGATCATCATTTCTTTCAATTCAGTATTATCACAATCTTTCTTAGGTGGAGACCTAGTTAACTATCTGCTTTTCATGAAAGGGTTTTCATCTTGGTTGTCTTCTTTTTTTCCTCCCTCTTTTTCTTACCATCGTCAGATTCTTCACTATCCTATTGATTTAATCCTCTTCACTCGGCCATATTGTTAAAAATATTATAAATCTCTTACCTTATTCCGGACAGTGTTTTGACGTTATAATTGTCACTTACACCCCTATGTATTGTTTTGTAAATAATCACTAATTATTGTCCTTATCGTGAAGGTTCCACGCACCGCGCTACTCGCCTCTTCAAACGATCGGAGCTTGTAGCACTGATTGTTTATTTAGGTTACTCGTTATGATCTTTAGAAAACTCGATTTAGTTCACAATTTTCTAATGAGACTCGATTCACAGAGACACTATTTCGCAGGAAAAACACTTTGTGGATAAATAAACTCGATATTACCCGAATTTTCGAATTAAATATCGAAGCCGTTTTAACCACGTCTTTCTCGCTCGTGTACCAGTGACGGAGTCCCTCAGAATAATATCTAAGTTTCATAAATGCTCCTCTTGCAATTTCTATACGAGTTTTAATTTCTTCATCCGGATTTAGTATCTCGTTTATTCAACATCCTAGGTATTTAAAATGGTTAACTTTTGTTATCGGTATATTATTGTCAAGTAACAAAAACAAAGTATTGCTTTTCACAGGGCACTACTGTTACTAGTGAAAACGATGTAACCCGTACTCTAAAAACACAATTGAAAAGCTTATAACTGGGTTCTATGTGGATAATTGTGTGACCAGTGTTACTGATTGAATTGAGTTAAGAGAAATTGTAGCAGAAACAACTGCTCTTATGGAGCCTAAGATTAAGATGGCGAGAGGCCTCCAGTAATAGAAAACAGTTGTCTTCTCTGGGATTCCTCAAGAGACACTCTAAAAATCAATAGTGAAACTTTTTAACGAATGGAAATGAGACGACCAATAACTAAGAGACTCAGAGCTCCAGAGTATATTTGAGCTGTTGATTTTACCTGTCTAGTATATCTATTCCCCAAACTGTTCCTACAGAAATTTTGGGAGAAGCGCCAGGCATAGGATGCTCCAGTTCGAGAATGATATGGCTGAGGAATTTTGTAAATGGGAAAATCATCTTCCTAAACTGTCGAGTATTGAGATTGCACGCTGGGCCCATGGAAGCTGATCATTGAAGCTTACACACATTTTCAGATGCAAGTAAGAAAGATTATGCGGCTGTAGTATTTTTAAGTGTTTTTTGGTATAATGGTGTCTCAATTTTTCTTGTAGCAGCTAAGAATGTGGCCCCTTTGTGGATTTTGGGAGCGATTAGTAGGTATGATGAAAGGACTTTTGTGACAAGTTTTAGGTCGAGCGTGTCTAAATTATGAAGACTTATTGTCATTATTGTTTGATTGTGAGATTATAGTCAACTCGCGTCCGTGACGTGTCTTTCGGATGATCCTACTGAGTTAACCGCGTTAACCCCAAATATGTTTTTACAGTAACAAGTCAGTTATGAGTTGCCGGACTGTGATTTGCTAGAGCAGAATTCTCTCACATGCAAAATACGACGTTTACTAGATTTGAGAAATCATTTGCGAAAAAGATTATGTGCTGAATATCTGGCTCAACTCAAATCAGGAACAAAGAAGACGAAGGTGTCAATAATGTTTATCGGAATATCGTTTTAATCGGCAACGACAACATCAAGCTTCTTCAGTGGCCTTAAGGAAAAGTTATTAAACTTATACCTGGTAGGGATGACTAGGTGTGGTTAGTTCATCTTACGACTGCACAAGGCTAACTTCTGAGACTATTACAAATGCTTTAGCTGGTGTAAGTCGTAGAGGTAATTATTCCTGGCAGAAATGTCCAAGGTAATACTCTACCCTGTGAAAGTGAGGCGGTTCCAGAGAGGTTACCACAAGAGAATGTCGACTCCAAGTTGATAACAGTAATATAATAAAAAGCAGAGCACCTGACTTAAATGAAAGATATACGCGAAGTAGCCGGGTGATGAAACCACTTTTAATATTCAAGTGATATTTTCTTGGCTTGCAACTTGCAATTTTTGTGACTCTCTGTATTTTTTAAGAAATGTCAAATTTCTCAAGGTGGCAGAATGTCAAGTCAATAAACTGCTTAATATGTTTACTTAAAAATTTCCCCTAATCAGCGCATCGTTTCTCCAGCCGATGGGTATTGTGAGGTAATTAAATTTCACGACTTTTTCGTCTAGGAATGCAGGGAGTATCATAATATTTATATTACAGTTGCGTAGATATAGTCACTCGAATTTGTATTACCAATGCAAACTGTATTGAAATAAAACTTTAAAGCCACACTTGTGTATTTTAATCATCGAGCAATAAGACAAAAGAGGGAATCTAATCCTTATGAAAAGGAGACCAAAAAAGTGGCCTCTGATGGCGGACATATCCGGAAATGCGAATGCGCCAAATTTAAATTTTCCGACACTTATCAACAGTAGCTATATAATATTTTTCAGAATGTGTCTTAGACGAGAAAGTTTTAATTAATTAATAATGATAAGAGTCTAAAATGCGACACAATTGTTAAAAAACTTCAATATAAATAAGATTTCATGTGACATTTGGGACAAACAATAACATAACCCAACTAAATTTGATGTCAAACAAGGAGAGAGACTCTCTTTCCTTGTTTAATGTGGCCTCTAAAGATCGCACTTCCTGTCTAACAATATGTTTGGCCCCACTACCTTTACATTCCCTCTTTTATCTTTTTGCTCGATGATTTTAATACAAAAGTAATTTTATTTTGTTTGGAATTTAATTTTGTATTATTCCGGACTCGGAATCTTTCGCGGATAATAACTGCGAGAAGTTCCAAACGTAACATTGATTGTTGGATATTTTTGTTTCGGATATAGTTTCTACATTGTTGCACGCCTTTTTTACTAGCTCTTCATTCATCTACTTTATTTACTAACAGAATTCATCACACCTATTTGCCTAAAGTTTTGAAAGAAAAGTATCCGTAATCATGGTTGCCTATATTATTTTGGTATCTATAAAATCTATCTTATACATATTACTTTTCCGTATACCTACATTAACTCATGCAAATTTTTTCCTGTCTTTTTACACTGCATTATTGATAATTTGTAGTTAGATTTGGACGTTCCACCTGACATCATTTGATGTTTCAAATACATGCCAGTTCTTTATACTTAATTTCCAATACCTACACCACTTCGCAATTTGGTTAACTCTATAAAACTTAGGTTACTTATAATTTCTTAATATTTTTAGGAGGCTAGTAGTAAATAAAATAAAGTAGCATTTATCCCAACTTTCCTTTTTTAGATATTTTTTTAAGTAATCAATAAGTTATGTATCGCTTCCTTTTTTCACATTTTATTTAATTTCGGCGCTGATGTGTAGCGGCACAAAACGTGGAGTATGGAGTAGTTAGCACATTTAGAAAATTAGAAAGTGTAGTCTTGGATTAAAAACTACCTTATTTTGTTTGTCTATGTGCCGATGGACTATACCTATATTATTTTGATTACGAACGTTTTTTGCAATTTACTGATTTTTGTTATATTTAACATCAATACAGCATTGTGTAAAGTCCTAGCCCTGTAATTTTTGTTAAAGTACATTCAACAAATATTTATTTAACTAATATGGTAGATATGTTCACTTTCTGTTGATATTATTCATTAACTTTAGTTTCCTACATCTTGTATAAAAGATATTGCTTTGATATTTTACCATTTTTTAATCTATATAGATATTGTTTCTTATGAGAGCGCCATTGAATAAGACGCAAAAAAATGGAAAATTAAACAACTATTATACCTACTGATTCATTTAAGACATTTATTAGGCACAGTTATCTCAGCGTCATAGTCATACCTTTGCATATCCAACGATTTTAATACTCGCTAAATGCGACAGGTGTTACTACACTACTTACTTGGGTGCGTCACAATAAAAGAAAGAGGAACTGAGAAAAGGGAATAATTAAAGCTTTGTAGCTGTTATATTATTTCTTGTGAGAGTTGTCTGGTGATGTCTGATTAGAAAAGTTAATCAGATAACAATATTGTTACTGCAATAAACAGAAAACAAGTTGTTTAACTGCACTTTAAACAATCAATTAAATTTAATATAAATAAATCTTTTCATTCTTCATAGTTTGGATAAGTGCGCGCGCAATCCAGCTAAATGCTCAACAACCCTGTCGCAACTTGAACCTGTATCCCGTGTGGCCTCGTTGCCACATGCTCGATACTTCATTAAATCTAGATATAATCACAACATTGTATATCAAAAAGTTATCAGCTTTTTCTTGAAGGTCGACGAAAGTTTGGCAACAACGTTTTGTCGGCCGCTGCGATATTCTTCTTGCAAGTTGCGTGCGTAGATGCGGTCCGGTTATCTTTCAATTTTTTAATAAATACGTGTGACGGACATAGTTATAAAGTGTTTAGAATATTAGTGTGAGTAGTTGTGTGTCTAATTAGTCTTACAAAGAAGATCTTCCAGGCCAAATATCTCCAATATCAGGTAAAAATACAACGTGATCAGGTAGTTTCAGTTTTTGCATGCCACCGCTGTGCGCGCAAAAGAGCGTGTATCTGATACGAGTTTGTTTCAATACTTCAAACCTAACTATTTTAGACACTTCATTTTTCTGTTTTATGATTATCTTTAGATTAAAATATTAACTATAAATTACCCCTCCCATTGAAAACTTATATTGTGTGATAAGATTATTTATTTTTTCTTATAGCGCAAGGTATATACGTACATGCTTTTATATATCTTTTTGTTTGTGAGGTTGTGTAGGCGCGAATGTCACTATCGATAATTTAGATTTTAGATTTTTAATTTTATTAAAACTATTACTTAAATGTTTATTTATTAGGATGTCATCAGTAAGAAATAGGGAACGAATTTTGGAAGCGATTGACCAGTTGCGGCGTCGAAAAGCACGCCCGGATGTTCAAAGAATATGTAATTATTTATTTCGCCGGTACTCAGTTAATTCTGTAGAAGCAAGACAAGATTTAGATTTGTGTGTTGCTAATAATTACGTGCTTAAAGTTGAATACAAGAACAACATAAGTTATCGCAATGCTGCAAAAAAGCACGCGCATATGCGACAGAAAGTTTTACTTCCAAAAAAACCAACATCTACCCAAGGCAACTCAACTGATGTACGGTATAAAATAAATCGGCAGTTTAATGAATTATTAACTAACGCTTTTGGAGAACTTATCGTTGAAGAGCCTGATTATTTAGAGATGGGGATTCCAAGCAGCGAAATAATTAACAACATATTGGCAAAAGACAGTGTCAGATATACAAAAAAGTATATCAGTATATTATTAGAAAAAGAAGTAGAAGCCGGTGGTTTAATTAAGTTGGAAACTGGTAATTACCTTATGGGACCTTCCAAAGCTGAAGATAATGAGAAAGAGAAGGAAATAGGATGGAAAAGGGTGAATGTGATTCAAAGGAATGACGTGAACGGTGGACAGTCGCAATCAAATAATCGAAACAATTCCAATCAATTCTCTATCCAAGTCAAAAAGAAGAAACATCCCCTTTACACAAGTGAAATGAAGACTGATAGTTACGAAAATATGGACTCATCAACAAATTCTGCAGACGAAAAAAAGTCCGATGCATCACAAAGAATTGGAGGTAGACGAAAGGTTAGTGTACTTTTATAATACATAAATATTTGTGTCATCTGTCATATTGCTTGTAATGTATATTCAGATAAGTGCATTTAAGTGCAACTTTTCCCGAGGATTTGGAACTCCTAAACATTCTATCTGCGGCGTTGCCGAGTTTACAGTTATTTCTTGATAATAAGTATGCATATTTATATTCCGTAGCCAAATGATTTTGTAAAATAGAATTTAATAACGGTTATAACGTAATAGTTAATTGGTTAAAATACTTAATTAGAACATTGATTTTAGTTATCGGTTGAACAGGTAGCGATTCTATAATGAAACCAATGATCTACAGGCATACATTAAAATAAGCTCTATACCTTAGATAATGAATGTTATTGTCTAAATCTCTGTCTAAACTCCATATTATAATCTGATATTTGTCCTCTTTCTATTTATTTTACAATTAAACACAAAGGTCTTCGCAAATTCACAATATGTATTTCTTTTTCATTTGTTAAATTAACAAAGTATATTAAATTTAGAATTAAAATTAATCTTGATTGTAACTTAACTTCCATATTATACTATTTTGTATTTAAAATATATTAAAACACACAATTTAAATTATCAAAAATTTTTTAAGAAAAACTTGTAAACTTGGCAGCAGCCGCGATGTCATTTTACGCTCCCGAATAGTTCCGAATTTGAATGCATATAAGTGTAGATTTTCTTATTTAAATTTATAGTTAATGGTTAAAAAATTAGAAAAAAATGTCCAAATATAAAGTAAAGTATACCCATTTAAATCATTATTTTACACATATTTGAATTAGCACAGTTAATATTTTAATGTGACAAAAACAGTTTTATTTGACCCAATTTATCAATTAATAAATATACGAGATTGGATTTAAGTGAAGCTAGTTTTAAAAAATATATTAGTTTCTACTTATTTTTTATACTTTAAAAATGTAGTAAATATTGCCATAAATTTACTTTGAGAATTAAAATTTACATTTGAGGTTATTTTGTCCTTTTTAAAATCATCATCTATCTTCTTTTTGATAACAATTCGAACACTGTTTTCACATTATATCCCGATCTGGATAATTACCCATCTTTTTCACTGAGACTGTATTTTTTTCTTTCCCCACTAGTTCCATATGCTCACATTCATTATCCAGCTTAGTTTTACCAACGAATATAGATGCATATTGTCTGTATTTGTTGGTTCCCAGTCAAAAGCTTTCAATATTATAAAACTGCTGAAAGTTATGTTAAAAAATTCAATATTATCTGCATGAAGATTTGCAATACATGATACTGTAGACAAGTATGAATTAAAACCAATATTGGTCCGCCTGAGCGACTGATAAAAGATGATATGTGATCTTTTGTTCCTATTTGGAACCACAGTTATACTGTGCTGGAACTTCCACCAAAATTTTAGAAATCAATGGAGGGCATTCAATCTTTTAATAATGATTTTAAAAAATAATTTTAGGAGTGTCTGGTCTCTTTGCACTTTTAACATTGGTAATGAGAATGTCCCTTGCATTGATGCAAAACCATAAGAATAATCATTCATTTTTGAAATATTTCCTTTATATGCTAGGTACCACACAAAAACCTCCGCTGCCCTTGCCCAATTCTGTGAATATGAGGTATAATAGGGGCTCCAGACTGAAGAATAATATTCTAATAGGGGTCTAACAAGACTAGTATAGTAATCAAATAGCTATAATACTTTTAAAGTCTAATGTATTTCTCTTAATAAATTCAAGCATCTAGAAACTATCATATCAATATGATTGACAAATGAGGGTGTGGAGTCCACAATAACACCAAGATCTAAAATAGATGTGACTTGGGAAAACTGTGAACTCTTTATTCTGTATTTAAAGTCAGTTTTGAGTAGTTCCTTTGTAAATATTATGGAGTGGCATTTCGAAATATATTAAGATCCATATCAATGATCTTACACCATTTTTCGATTCTGGCCAGATATACCTGAAATTTTGAGATATTGAGATCACCTTCGAATACTTTAGAGATCACCTTCCAAACATAAAAATTTAGCAAAAACTTAAAGCACTCTGAAATATCATTGAAAAATAGTACAAATAGCAAAGGTCCTAGGTGGAATATCTGTGGAAACACAGAAAGATTGGAAATTTTTTTAGACAGTACATCATTTACTTTTACAGTTTGGAATCTTTCAGACAGATAACTAGTATATCACTCTAAAAATGTTCCCTGGATACCAGGAATTTTAACTTATTTTTTTGCTTGTGAATGACCCTATCAAATGACTTGAAAAAATCTGTGTAAACAGCATGTACTTCACAACCCTGATCTAAGGTGTCTGAAAGATAGTCAACAAATGTAATTAAATTAAAATCCGCTAATCTCTGTGACATGTTGAGTCTTGGTTTTTGTCATCACTTCTTCTGAGATATTATTAAATTTTTACTGCATATTAACATAACATTGTTTTAGAAGGGAGTACAGGTAAAAATAGAAACTTTCCGTTTTTTTGATATATTTCCTCCAGCTCTGTAGTGATTAGTTGTTTTGTCATTTTCGGCATACTGTGTGATTTGGAGTCAAAAATATTCCAGACAGTGGCCAAATCTGTGTCATTGATACCCAATATGTTAATCTTAAGGCTCTCCATTTTCTGTATGATGTCCAATTTTTCCACCAATAACAAACTTTTCATATTCCTTGTAGCAATTTCTCTACTTTTAATATAAGGATTTCTCAGAATTAGGACAGAGGAAGTCTTGTGATGTTGTAACTCTGCTGGCTATCAAACTTCTATGATTAGTATCTGTATTATGTTTTGTCATTTATTCTGATGTTAACCATATGTTGTATTCTGTCACTTACCAGCTCTTACCAGTAAATGAATCACTTATACGAGCAATCACTCAGTGATCTCCCTATATCTAGCCAACCTCACTGAGCTTAGCTGGCAGGCCAATGCAATTACCCAGGGTATGGCATATGGAGCCATAAGTGGGAGTTGAGTGTCTTATGAGGACCAGTTATCTAAAACTTTTTTGGTCTATGACAATTGATGTACCCATTCTTAACGAAAGGTTCTATCTTTATAACACACCCCTACACATCAGTAGTGTTATTTATTATCATCTAATATAATAATCTGTTAATATGTTTTTAGAGAGCAAAAAAAGTATTTGATCCATCTGATAATAATGTTCCCAAAAAAAGGGGGCGTCCTGTGGGATCTCTGAATAAAGCAACTATAGAAAAGCAAATAGCAAAGTTAACTTATAACGAGGATAGTAGGGAAAACCGTCCAGAGTCAAGAACTTCTAATAATGGCAGAGACCAACATGGTGTTTGTTCAGTCTGTCACGTTCAAAATAGAAAGGGACCTAATGATCGTCTGGTGGCTTGTAGAGAATGTAGTAACAAAGGTAAGATATATACACTTTTTATAATTATTTCTAAGTTATAGATTTAAGGGTGGCTGAGCTTGATACTCTGAGTGATGTTTTAAAATACCCAATTTTGTCATGAGATGCAATTAAATATAAATTAAAAAAGTATGCAAAAAAAGATATTAAAAACATTTTTTACACAAAATATATTTATAGAAAACATGTAAGTAAATAAAAAGCACACTTCAAGTACAATATTACAATACTAAAATATAAAATTTTAAAACCCTAATTTATTAAATGTCATAAAATTTAAAACTACCATAGACAAAAAAGAAAGAAACAAACACCCAGTCACAATTTAAAATCGATTAAACTATTTACACAGCTAGTATCATTGAAGAGTCATTAGGAATTTATGTTGAACCCTCTCAGTAGCCTGAATATGAACATTATAATGGGTAGACCAGACACATACGCAGTAATCCAAGTGAGGTCTCACTAGTGAACAGTATAATAATTTAATAGAAGGGATATTAATGAAATGAAGTGCACAGTGTTTGATAAAGCATTTGAAGTGACTTTGAATAAGTCATCTATAGTGCGGCATGAATGATAAAGTTGAATCAATGACAACATCTAAATCTTTAACTTGGATTTCATACTCTAAAGGACAGTCATTTATAGTATAGATTTGGTTGGTGGGGTTTCCGTTATGACTAAAGACCCCATTTTAAATTTGGAATGTAGACCAGGGCGAATCTGTTTTGAGGTGAATGTGAGAGGTGGCATTTGGATTTTTGCAGGAATTATAAAGAAACAATCATCATCATCAGTAGCTTGGCAACCCTTTGCATTCTGTTCTGTTCCTTGCTTTGTTTTTCCAGTTGGTAATCTTAGGTGTTTTCAGATCTTGTTCCACTTGTCCCATGTATCTAAGTTTGGTGTTTGACCTTTGACCTTCTCCCTACTGGTGTTTGCCTCATTCTTATATGTTATATGTTTTGGAACTTCTTCACTGAAATTGTTATCTGCGATAACTAGTGAACCTAGATGTGTAAAATTGTTCACGCTTTCAATGTTATAGTCTCCTATTGTCAGATTCGATAGGTTTCTTTGGCCTGTCGATTTGCTGGCCTTCATGTATTTGGTTTTTATTTCATTAATGTTTAGGTCACTGTTTTGTGCCGCTCTTTCTAATTATTTTCTCTAATGTGATGTTGAATAGAATACAGAATGAGGCATCTCTGTGTCATAGGCCCGTTCTCACATGTATTGTATCGGTTTAGTGCGTTTTGAATTCGAATTTTGCTTTGTACTTTAAGTGTTTCTTTTACTATATCAATGAGTTGAGTTGGAATATTAAACTCTTTCAGTGCATGGATCAGAAATTCTCGATGGATGCTATCATAGGTACTCTCAAACTCAATGAAAAGATGATGTGTGTCTATATTAAATTCACTAGTCTTTCCCAAGATTTGCCTCAAGACGAAAATCTGATCTATCGTGGATTTCTGCCTGCAGAAACCACATTGATATCTACAACTATTTGTTCCACATATGGTCTCAATCGGCCATACACAATATTTGACAATATTTTATATGCCACAGTTAGTAGCGTAGTTTTTACATTGAAGCTAATATTCCTTTTTATGTAGTGGAATAATTACTCCGGTATTCCAGTCTTGTGGCAGTTGTTTATTATTCCCTATTATTATGTTCACTATTAGTTTGTATATTGCATTCAATAGGGAGTCTCCGCCTTCCTTTATTAATTCTGCGCTAATGTTGTCTAATCCAGATGACTTGTTGTTTTTCAGTCTGGTAACTGCTTCTTGCATTTCAGCTACTGAAGAGGGGGGTAGGGGTTGTTTCTCTGATAATTTCATCATATAGCGGATCTTCGTTTTTTTCAAACTTGTCTTTAAAGAATTCTGTCTATATTTGTAGTATTTCACTCTTCTTTGTCTCTACACATGATTGTTCTTGGTTTAAATTCTTTTCTGCTTTTGTTAAGTTTTTGGTAGAATTTTCTGGTTTCTAATGGTTTATTTAGTTCTTCCATTTCTTGGAGTTCTTTTTCTGTGTTCTCTTTTTCTTTCTGCGATGTATTTTCTTCTCTTCTCTCCTTTGCATTCTATATTCCTCCTCTGCCTTTCGTGTTCTATGTCGTTGTAGTCATTGATTTGCATTATTTTTTATCTCTATTATGTTACGACACTCTTCATCGAACCACTGTCCATGCTTCTGCCTGTTTTCTAGCCTTTTATGTATTCTTTGTATTTGCCTTTTTGCCGTTGTCTGCTAAGTTTTTTATTTCATATTTTTCAATTTTGGATCCCTTATCATTTTTAATGTTTGAGATTCTGGCTCTTATTCTACTTTCCACTATTATAGGTAGTGATCCGAGTCTGCATTTGCCCCTCGTCTGCTGCATACGTTTATTACGTCTGAGTGATGTTTAGAGTCAATAATAACATGATCGATCATGTTTACTGTAACCCCACCTGGAGATCTTCCTATGAATATTTTTTCGCTGGAAGCATGTGCTGGCAATGACCATGTTAAGGGAAGTTGCTAGATTTATTAGTCTGATGCCATTGTCATTGGATACCTCACGAAGGCTGTGCTTTTTTTGGAGTATTTACATAATTTTAGAGTTTTTTGTTTAACAAAGATGTTTCAAATAACAATTGCAAAAGTCAAGTAGAATATTTTGTTTTTTTCAGTATGCAATAATAGAACACTTTAAAATTAATTTATCTTCAAACTTACCAAATGTGACTTAAATCATTTTTCCACTGTGCTCTTCATGTGTTTTATATAAATTAAAAAATACATTTTTTTTTCAACCCTGTGACCAAACCCCTACAGTGAGGCTAATTCTTGAGAAAATTCTAGAGTTTGAAGTCATATTCACCACATGTTTGATGGGTTTAAAAGCAGCTTATGACTCTAAATTTCTTCAGGTTCAGGTGGACTATCGTGTATTTTATTTAACCTTGGTAAATAAATGTTTAAGGCAATGGAAAAAGTAATTCGAGATTCTAAGATTAACACGAATGGCGATACAATTTTTAATAAATCTGTACAAGTTGTTGGATAGGCAGATGACGTTGACATCATCGCTAGGTTCACAGAGGCGCTGACTGAAGCAATTTTGTCATTAAGAATATCTGTTCTGAAAATGGGACTAAAAATAAATGACTAAAATGATCAAAAATTATATGGGCTGCTCTTTGTCAAATAATAATCCATGATATTTATATCTTCATAAACTCAGGGTTTTTACTGACTAAAAACAACAATGTCATTGAAGAAATTAAAAGCTGAATAGTGCTGGCTAATATGTGGTACTATGACCTATATTCGTTGGAGAGTGAAAATGGCCCCAAACTACCCAGGAAAATAAAACTTACCGTATATAGATCACTAATAAGGTCAGTGTTAGATATGTCAGTGAGATTTTGTTCTATTGAAAGCCATTTTCAAAACAAAGTAAAAAATTTATTCCAGGAATAGATTAAATAAAGCATTTATTCTACAATCTGTGGTTATAAATATTCAGGGTACATATTCAGGGAACAATATATTTGATTTAATTTATCATCTTTTTAAAGTCTGTTGAAGAATTGCTTAGAGTGATAAATCAATTTAATTACATAAAGTAATTTTATAGTTTTACCAAAATATTATTGTAGGTATATAATCATTTTCGTTTTTGCTGTAGAGATTGGTTTCTGTGTAAGATAAGATCGTTATAGAAAACATTATTGATTTAACTGGTCTATTAGTAGATATTGTTAAAGTTTTTAGCTTAGCTGTTCATGTTCATTATTCTTAGAACTTGTATAGGCAAAATCACCTCAGTACTGAGTTTGTAACTTATTTTATGTATAATTACTCTTAGAAATATTGTTCTTAACCTATTTTCTTGTGGCATTTTAAAGTAATTACTATTTAAATGAAAATAAACCACAATTAAAGGTTAAAGTACGTTTTATTGACGTTTTAATTTCCACTTCGGAAATCGTTCTCAAAATACAAACATTAGTAAATTAAACAAATTTTGTTTTTTTGTTACTTGGTGAAAAATTCTTCTAATAATTTAATTTTATCTGACTCATTTATATTGACAATTCAGACATACATTATACATTTTAAAGTAGACGACTTTAAAATGATATTGCCAATATTGTTAAGTTGCGCTCCTGGGACGACTTTACTTATAAGATAGTTCATTCGATTACATGAAATCAACTTTAACTTGAGAATATCCGTCAGAAAAAATCATAGCATGTAATTCGTCTTTAAAAAGACAAACACATGCCATGATGACAGTAAAATTCTCCTGTTAGTGATTCCATAGTAAATTATGAGTAAAAACCAGGTAAAAAACCTCAATACTATCTCGACATGGTAAGTATTTGGTCATGCTTTTAGTTTATCTTCAATAAACACCAAATTCTGATTTTATATGTTTGTTATTTAAAAAACATAAATGATGTATCCTCTATATGTTACTGACTTACTTCTTCTTATGGTGCCCTATCCAATTAGTGGATGTTGGCGACAATCCTGGAATACTCCTCTCGATCTTGTGTGGCTCTAAAAAGTGCACGGGCATCGAGATTTGTCCACTCTGTTTACTCTTATATTCAATTGCATATTTCGTGTTCTACTAACCACCATTACCTTCGTCTTGTCTATATTAATCTTCAAGCCTACTCGTTCTCCTTCAGTGTTTATTCTTTCTATTAGTCGTTGTAGCGCTTCTTAGCTATCAGCTATTATGACTTTATCATCAGCATCGCGAAGATTACTAATAGTCTGTCCATTGATTTTGATTCCATCTTCAGTGTCACTTAAGGCTCTTTCGAAAATCGTTTCAGAGTAAAGATTAAAAAGGAGGGGTGACAGAACACAACCCTGTCGTACACCTTTTTCGATTGAGAAATATGATGTATATTACAGTCCTACTCTCACAGATGCCACTTGATTAATATAAAGGTTCTTTATGATTTTTAGGTCATTCTCATCTATCGAACGTTCCTGGAGCAATCTTATTAATTCTGAATGATTAACACAATCGAATGCTTTCTGGTAATCTATAAAGCATAGGAAGACATCTTTTTGCTGATCTCTGCATTTCTGAAGTAGGGCAGTTAAGCTATAAAGTGGTTCTCTTGTATTTTATCCATTATAACAGTTGCATTCCCCTTGTCTGCTTGTAGGATGATTATGGAGTCGTCATTTTTTAAAGTTCTTATAGCCTTTAGTTCCTCTTTGCTTATGTTTTGTTGAATTTTAATAGACTTTTCCAATTCAAGTTTACACAATACTCTATATTCTTCCTTTTCGTGGGTTGGTAAACATTCAGATATTTTCTCCACTGAGCTTATTATGTCTAATTTTGGAATGGATGGCTGAGTAACAGTAAAGGTTAGATCCTGTGACAGTATTAAATTCTCCGTTGCATTTAAATGTCTATTGGATAGTGTTAAGTCTTTATTAATTCTAATTTATTGTTTTCATTATTTATCAAAGGTTCTATATTTATAACACTTACAACTTAATTTAAAGTTTATTCATACTAATTCATCTTACACATAATTTATTTTATACGACCGTTACATTTAAATACCTTTCGCGAATTTATCTTCTGACTGCTGTTTTCTGCAAAAAGGTTTCTATTTATATAACATGCTGTTATTTAGAGAGTTCCGGTGATCCCCTCTGACTAGACTAGAAGGTCAATCGGCTGGGTCTTCATTCGACCGGTTTCTGGAATCTTCGAATCGTAGGGCGGCAACCATTTCAGGTAGATTTTACCTGGAATTTCTGCCAGCTAATAAAATCTAGAACATAAAAGTGAATAAACAACATGTTTAAAGGTTATTAATATAACTCATATTTTTTTTACGTAACAATAGATTGACAACTGTCGCTAATATGTCATCATTTCTATTGAGGTTATCTAAAGTGTGTATACTGTTTTGTTCTAAAAGAATATTAAATTTATTTAAATGTATATTTCTTTATTTATTATAATGCATTTTCATATACTATATGTAAACTAAAAATAATTTGATCAAAATCAGAATTTGATATCACATTGAAAAGCAAATCTTCAATACTTACAATATCTTGTTCAACAAAAAATAAATTAGATCTATGATATTGTAACCTTTTGCGGATCATGGACAAACTGGCTCTATGTAGAATGTTTTCCAACCTTCTGCTTGAATATGCTGGACTTAACTTCAAGCACTTTGGTATAATGTTGTTGTCTCTACATCTTCGTAAAAATTTAATTGACTTTTGACAATGTGCCAGTTTCTTGTATAGAATTTCCAATCTTCGAAAAATTTGAATAACGCTGTGCCCATAAAGGTTTCTTAATATTGTTCTGAAGCTATTTTCCTGTGGCATTTTAAAGTAATTAAATAATATTTACATCAATTTTATAAATATAATTCTATACACTGAAAGCTAACATTTTTCATCGTTCGTTGTTTCTCACTTATTCGAAATATTTTATATGTTTACGATATTAAAAATAAAAGCAATCAAACCAATAGTCATTATTTATTCAAATGAAGAACCATTTTCAAATACCTTTCAATTATTTGAAGGTACGCCGCTGACTCAACGGGAAATGTCATAGTATATCACCTCGCCTCTTTCCCCGCGCCTATAAACTTTTTTACTTCAAATTTAGGTGAACAGATTGTAGGACATGCACAGTCCATCTTTATTTATACGTCCATGGGGTAACCAGATCCTACTACATTCTGCCGAGGAATTTGCGACGCAATTGGTCTCATTTAGCATAATTAGAGCCGCTTCTTTGGTTTTTCTTTTTTTAACATCCGTTTCTTTTAGGACTACATTTGAATTATTCCATTGAACCCTATGTTCATTATCCCATACGTGTTTACATATTTGAGATTTTACTGTCATTATGGCATGTGTTTGTCTTTTTAAAGACGAATTACATGCTATGATTTTTTCTGACGGATATTCTCAAGTTAAAGTTGATTTCATTCATCATCTTATAAGTAAAGTCGTCCCAGGAGCGCAACTCAACAATATTGCCAATATCATTTTAAAGTCGTCTACTTTAAAATGTATAATGTATGTCTGAATTGTCAATATAAATGAGCCAGATAAAATTAAATTATTAGAAGAATTTTTCATTAAGTGACAAAAAAACAAAATTTGTTTAATTTACTAATGTTTTTATTTTGAGAACGATTTCCAAAGTGGAAATTGAAACGTCAATAAACGTACTTTAACCTTTAATTATGGCAAATAAAGTAAAAAATATGGAAACTGAACAGGGAGTCCAAACAAGCAAAAATGATAGATTTGTTTGGATGGAAATGTAAAATATTACATTTAGAATCCATCAAATTATTCCTTGATGTGAATAATATGATTATTTTTTGATACGTAAATACACAGTGATTATAATAAATGTCAGAAATGTACATTTGACATAATAGAAAAGTTTAAAATTAGATAATAAATTGTTGTCGTTACTTCTGGAAATATATATCTCAGGAAAATCTTTCTCAAGATCTTAAATTTTTGGGTTTGTTTATCTTTGGTACACAGCTTATTGGAATACGCTATACTTTGCTGTAATGTATCTGCTGTGTTAAATAATTTTATATATTATGTTTCAGCTCATTTTAGTTGTTTAAATGGAGAAGACATGATGTTAAAAATGTATCCGGACAACACCTGGCAGTGTCCACACTGCAAAACTTGTGTGGTTTGTTTTGAGACCTCAAATTCTGTAAGTACATTTTCCTAATTCATCAATCGTTAATGTTAAGTATAGAATGTTTCATACAAAAATCATTTGATGTCGTTTAAGATTTACGACGCCAGAACCCCACAGCGTTGCCAAAATATCAGAATAGTTAATAAGTGGGGAATTTTTAAAATGTCAACTATTTAAGAATAATTGAAATGAGGTTGAATGCTCGAATAAATGAACTTTGAAAAATAAGGCACAAGCACGAGCACGAGCACAAGTTAATTAAATCTAGCCCAAGTACTTTCGCTTAAAATAACATCTTCAGGGGCATTTTAAACTTAACATTAATAATGACATAAAAGTAATTTTAAACTGTTTGTCCTCGTTTTAGTGTAGTGTTTTGTACAATTTTATGTCATTATTAATGTTTCCACATTCTACGCTTGCCGGATAGTTTATATTTGACGAAATGCCCCTGAAGATGCTATTTTAAGCTAAAGTACTTGGACTAGATTTAATTAACTAGTGCTCGATAATAGCCTTATTTTTCAAAGTTTATTTAAGAATACACTAGTCAACTGGATTTTTAAAATGAAGAAAATAATTATATTTTCAAAATTTCTTTTTTCATTTTTTCAATAATGTGGAAAACGAGATACATTTAACCCATATTATTACAAAAGATCACATAAAAATGAATAATTTAGCCACCAGCTCTCTACAGTGACTATTCAGCTGTTTTGGCATTTTTCAAACACAATCACAATCCACAACAATAATTAGTTTTTAAAGCTGTTAAGCTATATTTAATATGTACATAATTATAAATACGGTTTATTAAAGTTCTACATTTCGAATCAAATTGATACATAAATTAAAAGAAACAAACAGAATTCTCACTATAAGGATTGTACATCAGCAAAGCTATCGGCATTCTGGTCACACACCCAAATGTCATTTGAGATTTATTTGTAACCTCGGAAATCTTTTTTGTATGGTGCTAGAAAGACAAGCAATGGAGACACTGCCGACGGCAGCCAGATGGTTGGTGGAGAGCGAGTCGTGGGTTCGAAACTAGCTTTTGGAATCGGGAATGGGTCCAACGGACGAAATAAGTAAAGATAGGATAATATATATTAGAAAAGATACAGAAATAAAGAAAAAGATAGATGGGTAAAATTACCAAAGATACGATAAGATAGAAACAGGGCGCCACTTAATTTTTTGGGGTTAAGGAGAAAATTAAGAAACCTTAGAAAAGAAAAGAGATAAGGAAAGATATTTAGGTTCAGAGATCAAACCCAAGGAAAGATACCAACCGTTAATTATCAAATAAATTTGGTCAACACAATATACAAACAAATAATAAATATATTAGGTGTTACACTTACTTACCTACGAAACTAAATCAGCCTGATGTTTCTACTGGTCAAAGGTATAGTAATATTTAAAGGTAAAAAGCAAATATTCAGAGTTACTATTTTATCAGGGAACTTGTTAGGAGCCGACAAATAAAATACATACATAAAACAATAACAATATATTCAACAACACAATTATGAGGCTGCTGAATGCAACACAAGTAATAAAAATACATCAACAACTATAAAATGGTGGTATACACATAAAAATAAGCAGTAATGTAATTAGCAAATACCTTTACGAAGATATATAAGACAATAATTCACAAATAAAGTGTTATGGGCGTACCTCGAGATATTACAGTAAAAAAAAGTAATATGAATTATAACAAACACAAAAGATAACAAAAATTAATTAAATTGAAATTTACACAAATACAAAAAGGTTACAGAAATGAAAACATAAAAATTTAACCAAACCGCACTTGGCTAAGTGGATTAACTATCTCGCACTATTATTTAATGACAAACTAAGATTTAAATGTTCATAATTATTATTTATTGAAAATTCTTGAATCTATTAAAATGTTCTTTAAATTGAAAGCAAAAAGCAGTAATCGACAGGTGAAAACATGGAGGAACTTTAGATACGTCCAGATAATGGAGGATAATATGTTACCATACCATATTACTCGCCCAGATAATTTGAAGATAATCATTACTTACAGTAAATCTTGACGACTGCAGCCTAATTCATTGAAGTTAATACTTTACTGGTATCAAACACTGAATTTAATTAACCTTAAAGGTACTTTATAACTATATTTAATCTAATATAGTATAAGATAAAATACTCAAACAAGTGTATACACACTTAAAAAAAAAAAAAACTCAGAGAACGGTACGATAATAGAGACGATAAGATATCGCGAAGCGGCCCACGAGAATTCAGTCTTCTCTCAACAACGGCCCACTTATAAGTCCTTTTGGTTTTTCTAAAATTTTACCAACTACCCAAGAAAAAAGAAGGGATAGAATCATAGGCCAGTCGTATGTAGTTCTGAGAAGATAAGGTCTTAACGACTTCGGAAAGTTTGAGGTATTTACGGTATTAATAATTGGACCTGAAAAACATACAATCCTTTGGATTATGTTATTGTCAAAAGATTACTATAGGTAGTACCTTCGACGAAAATTACCAATTTATGAAAAAGAACCCGCATACCGAAAACCATTAGTTCCTTTCATACTCGGGATTAATAAGAAAAGGATTAACAACCTTTCGTAATTAGGGAAATGCATGATAGTTTGGTAGGCAGATATTTCGGTAGTGTTCAATCATATTTTCTAATTGTACACACGATCATCGGCGTATCGCACGGGGGTAAAAGGAATTAAAAATAATTTAATATATTAATAATAAAAAAAAATGTTACATATTTATATACGCATCTTTGGCGTACGATTGTTTAATCTATTTAATTAAAATGGTTATTTTTTGAATTATTAAACTTAAATAATAGTTCCATAAAATTTATATTATTAATAATGAGAAATGTTTTTGTATATTTAAGGTGGTATATCATAATGTTAAAATTTATATACTTAGGTACAGTTATTGTCACTATTTCAAAACTGTACTTAAATGAATCCGTGCCATAACTTACTTGGTAACCTGCCTAAAATTTGGTAATAAACCACAGTTAAAGGTTAAAGTACGTTTATTAATTGACGTTTCAATTTCCACTTTGGAAATCGTTGAACTTAGGTACAAAATAACTACCTTAAATGATTAACTATTCCAAGAGCTTTATTTTAAGCAAACGTTGATTATCTATACTGCTGTAATTTTTAAATTAACTCTACCTAAAGATAAAATTACAATTAAAATCTGCAAACTAGTGATTTTGTTGATATTACAGTAACAAGTTATTTTGGTAGTAAGAAATTAGTTCAGCTATCACTTAATAGATGGGAAAATAAGTTCACGTGCCATTTAATAGAAGGCAGTAGTGATGTATTAAATGTCAACAGAGCGCATTTGCCGAATTTAAGAAAAATCTGCAAAACATTGAAAACGAGTTTTGTGATTATGCAGTAACCATGGAAATACAAATAACGTGGTTTTGTTTAACAAAGCGGCCCCTCCCAGACATTTTGGCCTCGTTTGACCTTCAACCATGACTGTATAACGTCACAGTGACCATTTTTATCCTTGGCACCGTGACGTGATAATATATAATCATGATTGAAAGTCAGACAAGGCCCAAAATGTCTCGAAACGTGTGCTCGGGGGATTATACTGGTTTTTACATAATACATAGATTACATAAGTTCTAGTATGACACGTGTGGCTTATCTAAATTAATTCCAGTTTTATTCACTTTTTGCAAATTTAATTTTTATAGACAAAACGATATTATGTAATCACCAATTAATTTTTGTCAGTACATTCTGTAAGTGAAAAAAAATATTGAAATTTACTTGAGTAATACTTAAAAATGATATCAAAATGTGAAATTTTCTGAGGAAAAAATTTCCCCTGTTGACATATGATAGGAAAAAAGTGTTATTGTAGTGATGCTGTTTTTCAACTGACATATTTTGGATTCCATAAATATACCGTTGTACTAAATAAATAGTAACTCAATCTTCATTCACTTGAGGATTAGCATAATCCCTTTTTGATCGTTATTTACTTGTATTTCAAATAATTGCAGGTTTTTATCAGTTTGAAATAAAGAGCAGGTAAAGAATTAATAATGCAGTCTGAATGCTGTCTAAACACAATAAGTAATAAAATATTTCCAAATCAATGACCATTTTTACTTACCCTTAGGTGCATTAACCAAATAGATTACATATTGGTGACAAAAAGATACCGTAATGCCGTAAAATCTACTAAAACTTTCCCTGGAGCTGATATCGGTTCGGATCATAATCCAGTAGTATCTGTGATAGAAGCTAGACCAAAGAAAATAAGAAAAGCCATCATTCCAGCATTAGACTTAAGCCAGCTTAAAAATGAACATCTACGACAAACAGTGCGAGAAGAAATAAACACCAGCCTCAGTGTAGCAGAAAGCCAAATCCGCAGAACAGACAACATAGATGAAAAACTTAAGTATATAAATACTATAATAAGAACTACGGGAAAGAAACACCTAACCAAATCTGCAAAGAAACATAAGGTGTGGATGACACCAGACATTCTAGAACTAATGGATGAAAGACGTAAAATGAAGAATAATGCAGAAAAATACAAAGAGGTTGATAAGAACATAAAGCAAAGAATAAGAAATGCCAAAGAATCATGGATTACAGAACAATGTGTAGAAATGGAAAACTATGAAAGAAAGTATGACACGTTCAATATACATAAAAAACTAAGAGAAATTACAGGAACCCAAAGAAGACGTCAAATAAGTTTGCTTAAGAACAAAGATGGAAAGATTATTATAGATTTAACAGAGAAAATTAATAGATGGAGTGAATACATAAGAGAATTATTTGAGGACAACAGAAATAACATTGTTCTGATATATGGCGAAACGGGACCTGAAATTCTAAAATGTGAAGTAGAAATGGCACTTAAAAATTCCAAAACTGGGAAGGCAAATGGACCGGATGAGGTTCCTACCGAATTGCTAAAGCTCTTGAATGATGAATCAATAGGTATAATATTGCACTTATTTAATACAATATACAATACTGGTATTATACCTCAAGAGTGGCTGTTGTCTACATTCGTTACACTACCAAAGAAATCTAATGCTAAAGAATGTTCAGAACATCGAACAATATCTTTAATGAGCCACCTACTAAAGATATTTCTAAAAATCATCCACAACCGAGTTTATCAAAAGTTGGAGTCAGATATTAGTAATACACAGATGGGGTTCAGAAAAGGGCTTGGTGCTCGAGAAGCTCTCTTCGGTTTGAATGTTCTCACACAAAGATGCCTAGACGTTAATCAGGAGGTACATACGTGTTTTATCGATTTTGAAAAAGCGTTTGACAACTCGAATATTTTGGTCACCTGATGAGAGGACATAAATACGCATTACTTTAAAATATAATGCAGGGAAAAATAGAAGGAAAACGGAATCCAGGCCGTAGAAGAATGTCATGGTTGCGGAATTTGAGAGAGTAGTTTGGCTGCACCACTAATGAACTCTTTAGGTCAGCCGTAAACAAGGTCAGAATAGCCTTGATGATTTCCAATCTCCGATAGGAGTGGCACAAAAAGAAGAAGAAGGTGCATTAAAAAAGCCTATTTTGTTGAAGTACCATGGGTACCAATTATTATAAAAGGTGTTAGTAAATTGATTAGAGAGATTAGTAAAATTTTGTTTCTATTACATTAACTTTTCCTATTCACATAATTCTACACAAAAAAGACTGAAGAAAACTATCATTGTTTTTATTAAATTTTAATTTGAAAACATCAGGAAACGCTTGAAATTAATTAAAAATGTGTATAGCAGGATAAATACAATTTTTAGTGTTTACTATGATATGACGCATTAAAGAAGAAGAATTAATCCAATTAATTCAGATTTAAAATGATCTGAACAGACTCTTGCCAAAATAATTTTTAAAAAATCGAAACAAAACAAAAACAAATTTACTTTTAAATTCCAATACATTACAAAGTAAGGTTAATAAATACTTACCATTTTTGAGATTTATTTTGTCACCACAAAAATCTATCCACTGTTGTGCTCTCTCATCTTTTGGAATAGAAAAATATCGTACTTTTCTATTTTTTGTATTCGCATACGAATTGGAACATTGTTTAACAGCACAATTCAGCATTATTATCGAAAAACTAACTTTACTCTAAAATGCAAAACACTTAGCTGGACGTAACAAAGCAGACGTCACGCATGTGACGGATTGAAAAAATGGTGGATTTTGGTCGGCGCAGCGATGTGCAAAAACGAGTCCACCTAGTGAGCATACCTTGTTTCCTTATATTATGTTCAATACTTAGAATTGTTAAAAAATATTCAGTCAATCAATATTAGGAAACAAGACTAGTATACACTGTTTAAAATGTTTATAAAACTAAAAAACAACACCCAAAATCAAAACAGCAACTTAATCTCAAAGGTAAATAAACAACAACATGATACAACAATTATATCGAATTTCAGGAAATTTTGTGAACAAAAATGATGATGTGGAAATGAAAATTGCACTATTGGACAAGGAAAATGCATTTTCCAAAGTGCATTTCGAAGTGATGAAAAAAGATAAATTTGTAAATCGGAAATAATTTACGGAAATGAGTTCAATATTACTACTCGGTGGTTTTTGGGGTCGCTGAACATGAATATCATGTCGGCGATGTTCTCCGAGGCACCTGGTAAATCTGGGCCTCGTCTCCTGGAGTTTTATGAAAATTCGAGACAAAATTTTTGGGTAGCTTAACAGTAATAACCCTATTATCTTGGCGATGATGTCCGACGCACCTTGTGCTCAGGAGAGGACTGGCCTCTTGGAGTTTGTGCATCGGATATTATCACTGTTATGATATTTGTGATCAGCGACCCCAGAATCGCCAGAGTAACAAGTTTGCACTGATTTTGTATCGAATTTTCACAAAACTCATAAGAGACGAGACCCGTTCTAGCAAAAAAGGTTTTACTGGGTACCAAAGTATCAAAAAACCTTATTACATCGATATAGAAACTGACTAGCATATTGTTGGAATTGTAATCTTTTTCTGCTAGATTTTGAAGATGTTGTTAATTTTGTATAGATCTTGTTGTGTTGTATGCTATAGGCTGTATTATGTCTAAGAGGAACCTAAGGAGAATCTATGCTGCTGCAAATTGGTCTGAGGAATACATTTTCTTTGAATATTTTTGGGAATCCTGTATGGGTGTGCTGTCCTGCTGTAGCCAGAAATTATAATGGGAGAGAAGGGTATATACTTTAGGCCCGCTTTCTACAATAATAATAACATACATGTGACGCTTATTATCTAAATATTCACATATTAGTAAATACATTTTTATTTTTTAGGGAAGTTTAACAGTCTGTTCAGTTTGTGCCGATGGATATCACGCTGGTTGCCATCAACCGAGAATAGTAGAAAAATTATCAAAGGGACAAAAATGGTCATGCACAAATTGCCAAATGCCAGATGAATTGAAGATTAATCAGATTCAATCAAATGTCAATTCTTTCAGTCGAAAAAGTGCATCAGGTTGGTAAACATAATTATATTACATTTTTTATATTGTTTAGAAATAATTAACACTCAATAACATTTGAAGTTTGATAAAATATGATATGAAAATATATGATAGAAATCGAATATATACATTAACCATTAGGAGAATATAATTGATAATAGGTTGCCAGTGAATGCTAAGTTTATCTTACCTGTAACTCACCTGTACCGATAATACTTGACGACATAGTTTCTAAAGTTGTTATTAAATATTGTAGTATTGTTTTAAATGTTAATTACTATTAAACTGGGAATTGTATTTATATGTTTTATATGTGATTCATGCTGGGTCAAATGACCCATTAAAAATTTCCCATTGCTTGTAGTCTACTAGCTGTATATTTAATTACCGAACATCTCGGCTTTCCCATGGCAAAACACAGTAATTGCATTTTTACAACAATGGAGAAAATTCGATTTTTATAAAATGTAAAAGCCGTAAGAAATTTTTAAATAAATTCAAACACAAACTGGACGGTATGTTCGACAACCTCTATTCACCTCTATTCAAGTGAAAACTAATTTTGCATAGATTAAAAAAAAATTAAAATCAATTTTTCCATAACAAAACACAGTAATTGCCTTTACTAATTTTTGCATAGATTTAACAAAAAATTAAAATAAATTTTTCCATAACAAAACACAGTAATTGCCTTTTTTTGTAATTAGTACATACTTAAAAAATACTCCATTTTGCAGAACAGTAAGTGCTATTAGTGTGTTTTGCAAAAATAAATTAAAACTAGATGATAAAACATTGATAAAACTAGATGATTGCATTGAATTTTTATCGAGCCTATATAAGATCTATAATAGATTACTGTTGTGTGGTATATGGGTCATATATGGCTAGCATAACCAATTTACGTAAACTTGATAGAATTCAATTTAAAGCTCTAAGGATTGTGTTAGGATTGATGAAAAGCACTCCAAATGAAGCCACCCTAGCTCTAGCATCTGAAAACCCACTCTCATTGCGCAGAGAATTAAATACAGCTGATTTATCATCTACATACTTCATTAAAAAAAATTTCTACACCACTTGCAAGAGCAATTATAACTTGCAACGAACTTAAGAAGTTAACAAATTCCCCTTGTAATCTAATCTGGGAATCGTTGGATATACCACATCTAACAAGTGTTCTAGCTACAAATATTATTATCCCTAAATACCAAAACGAATTTTGCTACACTACTCTTAAAGAAATCTTAAGTGGCTATTCAGATCATATTGTGATCTATACAGACGGGTCAAAATCACCAACATGTACAACCAGTGCTTACTTTGTACCAAAAATGAAGATTAAAAAATCATTTATTTTAAATAATCAATCCAGCATTTTTTTTGCTGAAGCATGTGCTATATACAAAGCCCTTGAATTGTGCTGTGAAAACCAGCGGAACAAAATTGTCATATGCAGTGATTTACTGTCAGTACTACACTCCTTACAAAACTTTAAATTCACAATCAATAGCAATATATTCATATTAAAAATTTTTGAATAGTTACTAAAACTATCAGATCCATATTGTACTAAATTTCTATGGGTTAAGGGACACTCAGATATTGTTGGCAATACTATTGCTGATTCTATAGCTAAAAATTCATTACAGCACCCACATATGGTGATAGAAGAATTTAACACATGTGACCTACTTGCCTATATCAAACAACATTTTAAATTTAAATGGGACAGACAATGGATTCAGTTTGGTGAAAGCAGGGGCACTAATTTATACAAATTCCAACCAACAGTAGATGTAAAACAATTTTACAAAGATATTACACTAAGCAGAAACACAGTATCAACTGTCTTAAGATTAAAAGTAGATCATGGATGTTTTCCGAAAAATCTACACAAAATAGGAGTTCTCCCAACAGACCGATGTGGGTGTGGAACTGGTATATCTGATTTAAATCACATATTCTTCAACTGCCCACTACATCGTAATACAAGCACGTGGCTGATAAAAGAATTGATAAAAGAGGGTTTAAGTACACCATTAAACGTAAATCTTCTATTAAGTGAAGACAATATAAAAATATTTAAAATAATTATGATATTTCTTGTAAAAATTAAATTAAAGGTATGAGTGTATAATTGATCGTATGCTTGAACATTTCCTTTGTATGTTTACCATATATGTTGCACACCTACCTAACCGTGGTTTATGTCTTGTTTGTTACAATAAAGCCGCTCTGATGAATCCCTGAGCGTGAAAAGTGTCCTCCTTGTACAATCCTGTATGAATGAATACTAATATTTATAGGTAATTACGTGGCTAAAGGTTTCAAGCCAAAGCCAATAAAAAAAATAGATGATAAAACAATATTTATTTTAATAAAATACAGAATATAAAATACAAACGTACCAATATAAAAACTGTTATTAAAAATTAGGAACTAACAAAAAAAAAAAAAAAAAAACAATCTGTACCTACTTAAAACAAAAACAAATAATATTACTAAAATGACAAAAGGAACGAATTATACAAATACATTGGTTTGGTAACAGCAGAAAACTAAACAATAGAAACTAGTATCCTGGAATCCTGGTAGGATTTTTCAAAAGAACTTTCGGTTTTCCGGCATTAATGGAACTCGGTTTTTAAAATGAATGCCTTTTTGTCGCTTAAGATTTCAAGAATATTTAAGTTTTAGGCGTAAACGTGTTTGGACAGTGTTTTTTTTTTGTAAAAAATCTAATTCCTGATCATCGTCCTCAAAATCTGTTTTATATTTTATACAGCTACTTCCTCGTGTAAAAATAACTTCTACCAGATTTTGTAATAGAAAACCCCTTACAGGATCCTCTAGTTTCCTAGTTGTTGTCCTTTTTTTTATCTTTCCACAAGTAGTTTTAAGTACCTCTACTTCTGAAGTTATTGACAAGTTCAGTCAGTTCCTGAAAATCATAGATATTTCTGATATTTTTGCTCGATATTGCCATGAATTCCATCAGCAGACATGTGCGTTTGGCCCTTTGTAAGATATCTTATAATGATTTCCTGTGGTCCGGAAGAACGATTGACTTCAGTTATTAAGGAAGTATATAGAACCCAATTTTTATTCTGGGATGTACAGTTGTCTGCCCAAAATACAAAATGAGAGACATATCTCTCTTTTCTTATTACTTCTAATAAAGCGTCAACAATCGACTCAGCCTTAAGTCCACCTAAAGCTTCGTGCTAGAGTACACAGAAGCTGTTATTTTTAGACTACTTAAATTAGAAAACGTAAGGTTAAATACAACAAGTCGGCTAGTAAAAATTGCACTTTTACATTGAGGCTTAATAGGCAAAATAATCCCTTTTTTTATTTTCTGCTTTAGTACGGTGGGAATTTGGCTGATCTTGAATTTTATCGTCTTCTTTATTTTCCAACGTGTTTTTTAACCTGTTGCACTCTTCACAGATATCCGTTTTGGGTTGGCTAAATATTCATTTCCTTTAAAACCTGACGGTATACTTCGATTTTACAAACAGAGGGATGTTTTGTTACAAAATCATCAAATATTTTCTTATGTGTCAACTCTCTATAGACAAATTCATGAGAGGATTTCAGTACAGTGCTTATGAGAAGCGACGTTGTCGCTTAGGCCGCTAGGCACGTTCATAGTCTGCAGGTGTGATACAGGACCGCGTTGGCCCTCCTGTACGATAGCATTAAATCATGCAATCCTATTAGAAGTAAATGTAACATTATTTACAACTTCAAGATTTTCCAAATTACACAAAATTTAATAAAACTATTTTTTTGAAATCTTTTTTACTAAATTATACAGGGTGTAACAACAGAACGGAGTCTACTACAAAAAAAAACTGCTACAAAAAAATCGTAGCTCCGTAGTGGGTACAAATTTAAATTGTTAATTTATATACCGACAGGATATATACCAACTGGGATCAATTATTACTATTAACAGTCTCAACAATTATTACAAAAAAAAAAAATAAATAAAATTACACTAATAAAAGAATAAAAATTTATGTAGCCTAAACGCTACCTAATGAATAAAAATAAGACTTACAATAACAGTGTCTGGTCTCTACTCCATTTCGGAAAAATCGTTCTCACTGAAACTGCCGATGTTGGCTCTGATAATCACCGGTAGGATATCTTCTTGTAGGTTGTCAGCTATCCACATTTCTTTTTCAATTCTGATGACGTGCTGTATATAATTTTGCCACTGTTCAGCAGAGACATTGGCAAACGCTTTATGGATGAGTTGTTGTACACGATCTTTTTTAAAGTTAGTGTTTCGGGCTGCAACGTAATGTTTAACTTGGCTCGAAACCATCTCTATTGGATTAAGCTCAGAATGATAGGGAAGCAATCGTAATACTTCTACGCCGTATTTCTCGACCAAAGTTTCGATGTTGTACTTGTCGTTTATATCTGCATAACTGTTTGCTACATCCAATAGTTCTGGCTTTAAATAATCTTCATAAAATATATCCTTCTCTCGTAACCATTCTTGAATTTGTTGTTTGTTCCAGGAGCTTCTTGAAAAATTTTGTTTGCATGAATAATATCCGAACATGCGACATAGCAAATAAAAGGACAGGATAAAACGCATATATTAAGACAGAAAAACCAAACAAGGTGACTACCAAAAGGGCACTACACAGCATTCTCGTTATTACTGAAAATACGAGATATCAAATGTTATTAATTAACTCATAACATATTAATCCCAAACAGCTTCAAATACTTAAATTTTTTAATATTATTAATAGCACCAATACATTTTGGTAAAAGTTTTAAATACAGACTTTACTATTTTTTAGAATATAATACATCATCAAATTCTGGAGACTCATCACCATCACAGTATAATTCTCCATCAATTTCTCCAACACCACCGCATTTAAGCCCGCAAACCACATTAAGGCCAGAATCGCCAGATGCCGATGGCGATGCTCAGTCCGATTCGCAGAATGAAGATGAAAACAGCGGCATTGATCCGTCTATTCCTGACGCAACTCATTGGACCGCCGATGAAGTTTATGAGTATTTTCGACAGTATTTCCCAGAAGAAGCTATTATATTTAAGGAACAGGTAATTATTTCTATTACTTCATTGCAACATTTTATATAAAAATCTTCACATGTGCCTTATTCTTTTTCCCCATTTTTAATTTTCAATTTTGTGTTCCTTTTATCGTTTTTAGTTCCTTCACTTTAAAAGTCATATTGTCACTTACTATCACTCGAAACATATTAACATTTTATCTTATACCACAATGTCTCATAACTTTAAGGTTTGGATTGTTCAAAAGCCATGAGAGGACGTTAATGTTATTCTCCCCAAGCCATTTTTTAGTTGTTTTAGCTGTATGGCATGCAGCACCGTCCTACTGGAATATAAAATGACCATAATATTGCTTCAAATTCTTTACATTCAAAATAAATACGCTATGTGAACGATTGTTAAGCCCATTTTGACGCTGTAAAATGCTGTATTTATTTAATTTATCGTTCACTTTATAAATTTATTGAATTAAATATTCCATTGTTAATTAATATCCCCCACCGCCACCTAAAACAGCCCATCCTAATATTTGGCAATATATTTGCTGAAAATGCTGAAACAGTTCGATCTCATTCCAAATGGGATACATTTTAATGCTAGAGACATCTGTCATTTATTAACTCATTCCTTCTAGTTGTACAACCCCTTAGTTTTAAATAAGAAAAATACCACATGTGACACATCATTGGAGAAATACTTCAATGAAATATTCACGTATGTATGTTTTCCTACATATTATCTCCATTTTTGTAAATGAAATATTAATTTGTTGAAAGAGTTACACCTTCTTCACCTATATTTCGTTGTTGTTAACAGAGGTGTGGCATTTAATTTTTTAAAGGTGTGTAAACACTTAATAAACTAATACTTTTTCACAGAAATAAAGTTAATAAGAGGAAGAGAGAGAAATTTATTGTTTCTAAAATAAGTTACATGTATAAAACAAAATATGACCCAGTACAAGATACATTAAAATATTAATTATAAAATTTCCATAATAAAGCTATCAATTAGCTCAGCTGTCGTCAAAAAATTACTAAATACTATAGTAACACTTAGATAATACAGACTTCTTGATTGCTCTACGGAATACAAAGATATTGCTTGAGGATCTTATATCGAGTGGTCCATCATTAAACACTTGCTTTCCGGTGTAAATAAATGATTTTTTAATTAATATACAAGAGGGAATTGGAATAACATACGTTATACGAGTGTTATAAAAGGAATCTGTGCGAATATCCTCTGAATGGTGTTTATAATTAAGGTCTAATTAAGGTCTGCATAATGTACCAATCTTGACCTTGCATAAATACATATATGAGTGCTGAAAAAGTCTGCTGAAATGATGAAGAGAACAGCTACCTCAAAAGGCAATACCGTATCTCATTAGATTGAATCAAGGCCACATAAACACTTTTTGCAATCTTGAAATGTAAGTGGTGTGTAACTGATTTGACAGCAAAGCAACTCGATTATATCTTTTTTGCTTAAATATACAGTATGTAGCTCAAACTTAAGTTTATTATCAATATAGAGACCTAAAAATTTGTTTACGGTGTTAGAACAAATGCCTTCATTGCCTAGAGTAATATTGTTTAGATCATTCTTAAAAGCAATTAATTTGGTTTTTGAAAAATTAAATTTCAAATGATTAGCTTTGCACCACTTCAAGCCTGCCAGGTTAATTATATCATGTCGAAGTTAATTATATCATTAAATATATATCAAGAAGAAGATAGGACACAAGACAGAGCCTTGAGGTATGCCACCACTAATAAAGATATTACTAGTGTAGCGTTCATTGATTGATGAAGGCTGGCATCTGTGTTCCAAGTCTGAACCACTTTACAACAGTGCCTCTTAAACAATATCTTTTTTATTAAGAAGTATTTTATGATTCATAAAGTCAAAAGCAGTCAAAAACAGACAGTGTCATGTCTATATAATATAAAAGAAGAGGAAGAAAAGCTTTAGATATATCAGCAGCAACAATCTTTGTTTAAGACCAAGCATAGTTTTTCCATGAATACGAAGATGGCATCATATATACTTTTTAATGACTGGAAACCAAATTGGAAGCAAGAATGTAAATTGTGTTTTAAAGAAAGTCATCATTCGGATTTTTACCAATTTTTCTATAATCTTTGAAGGCGACAGTAACAAAGAGATGGGACGATCATTATTAGCAGGTAAATCTTGGTCACAACCTTTATACAGAGGATTAGCAAAATTTAAATAATCACTAAAGTGACCTGTTGAAAAAAATGTGTTAATTGTCTCCGCTAAAACTCTCAGCACATTATTAGGAAGATAAGATAAAACTTTGGATGAAATATTATCCCAGCCTGGAGCCACATGATTTTTGCTTTGTATAATATATTTTATTTCAGCCGAGGTACTAGAAAAAAAGGGAATTTTTAATGTTTATTCCATTTAAAAAATGCATTTGATCAGAAGAATTAATTATGGAGAGAAAAATTATGGATTCTTGGAATACTCCATTGAAGTGTTTATATAATGATGTGTCAAATATGGCATAATCTGTATTTAAAACTGTTAAGGGGTTGTAGAACTGGAACGGAGGGGGTTGATAACTAATTGATTTATCTTTATATTTACATATTGTTATTATGTAAATACTAAAACAGACGTTCATACATGTTTTTTTTTTCAGGAAATTGACGGTAGATCACTTCTACTATTAAGAAGAATTGACGTATTAACAAATCTCAACTTAAGGTTAGGCCCAGCACTGAAAATTTATAGACATATTGTAAAATTACAAGTGAGAAGAGACGATCCCAAATTATATTGGTTGTAAATTCCTATAAAAACTTATGAATATAAAATATTATATAAAAGTATTGGACACTTAATGGGCTCTCAGGCTGAATCGCCTCGGTTTTTGGCTGGGTCGATCTTTATTTCTCTATGGAGTCATCTTAGTTCCCCAAGCCTCGATACTGTGACTCCCAAGGCCAGGATATCACAAGCAATACAGCTGGATCCAGCCTAATTTTACCTAAAAATTCACAAACCTGTTAAGAAACTCATGATACATATTTCAGTTTCAATGCACTTAAAGCAAATGAAGTGTTTCTCTACGCACGAATATTCATGTACGGTGGTGAACATGTTTAGAGGAGAATTATTGGACCCAATATTTTGCCTGTTTTTATTTATCGGGTTTTATAATTGTTTTACTTTTTTTAAACTTATGAAGAATGATAAATATGTTTTATCTGTTACATGAGCCGCTGAGAGCAAAAGTGGTGTAAGTCAAAAAATCAAGTTCTCAGCAAACTAGTGCTTTACTAGAAACTCTGTACAGACGAAAGTTTTTATGTTTAGATAAATGAATGAGTAATATAATGATCATGCTCATAGTATGTATTTAAAAAAATGCATAAAATAAAAACAAATAAAATTATATACAAAATTTTAAAATTCTTTATTAGGAGATGTGAAGTAATACAAATATAATTTTTACTGCTATAAGATTAAAAAATATATAAGAGACACCATTATAAAGGAAAAACAATAATAAAGTTCAGAACTGGTGCCTCTGTTCTCATCATCGAATGCTTCGATGTCCCTCGATGATTCTAATGGTCCCAGGTCATCCAAGTTCTCTGTTGACGTTTTTAAAGTGTTATAGAATGGTGAATCGGAGAAATATAAGGTAATACATCTTTCATATCATTTTTCTTTGCTGATGTAACAGGCCTAGGGCAATTAAACAAACGGCGTTGTTGAATTTCATAAAAAGGTTGTGATGAGCCTTTCCATTTTCGGCAACCGCAATTCACAAAAGTCTTCTATGCCACTTAATGTGGCATGGTAAACATTGTATGAGGACAGTTTTTTGTGAAACGTATCCATTGAATTTGCAGCCAGTTAATTGACTTTCCGTCTGTATTTAGTTTATTTCTTAATACCGATTTTTCCAACTGTAATGTAGCTTTAAAATCTTGTTTCATTACGTGAACGTTAAGCTTATTTTTTCTCCTAGCAGTACGGATGGTTCCATACCAGTCATGTGGAGTATAATGCAATTGGTTTTTCGCGACAGATTCAATATTTCCAAAGTCAGAATCGTTCATCATAAATGAGTGACCAGATACTTAGACATTTGTGTTCTATCACTTCAATGGTATTATTACGATCCATTGCAATTTTAAGCCAAGTTAATGCAACTTTAAAATGACGGTTTTGTTCCGTGCGAGCATTGCTAAACGCTATTATGTGTTTTTCACCGCTGCCTCACATTTCAAATATTTTGTTAAGCAGCATGCAATTTCCTGGGATCCTCTAGAGGCTAGTCTCGTCCCATACATACATCCACGCTTTATGGGTATGCAAGTCATGCACACCTAAATTATAGCAATATAAATTTCGTTTGTAGTAGGCAATTGATGTTGTCAATCTGGGGAAAGGCAATGCTTTCTGTAAGTCAAACGAAATTACATGATAACTATTCTCAGACTGAGTCAAACATGCATCGATTTTCATTGCGGCTGTGGCCTTTTCAGCTTTCCTTAGATGTAGTTCATGATTGGCCTCAAGGTTGTTTTATTAGATTCGTCAGCTGCGCCTATGCGTAACTTAAATTTATCACACCGTTGACAATTGTCCTTTCTAGGATTGTGAAAATGTAGGTTTTGATCAGAAAATATTTTTCTGTATATGTTTTCAATGACTGGTTGCAATCCATCTTCAAGGCAATTTTCTTTGTATAAAGCAAACATCTTTCTAACATTAAGACAGGTATCTAAGTATCTTCTGTTTGGGTTATGAGTTCTCGTATAATGCCTGGTGTAAGCAGGAAAACTGTTAATATGATTTACAGATTTACAGTACTTTACCAGACTTTTCTTTCTGCAAGGCTCTTCTCTTGTCATTCCACCGTCAGAAATTTGAAATGTTTGCAAAAAATACTGCTTACAAACAATGTGACTGAAGCCCTCTATGTTCAAAAAATACTTATGTGGACAGGCCTTCATTCCTCTACTTCCATTACGCCTTCATCTATTCACAGCTGGTATGTTTCGTACTAGGTCACCTATATAACAATTTTGTCTTTTATAGTCACCCACAGCCCAAAACGAGTCAAAGAGAATTTTTCCAGTTGCCTCACTAACCTTCTCGTAACATTTTTTATTGCACTTGCAGTCTTTATTTTCAAATATTTTATTTTTACCAGCACTTCTTTCTGCACTTTTAACATTCCTTTTCCCCAAAGAAGAATTTTTTGTCTTTTTGACAACAATATCTTCATCGTTTTCACATTCAGAAGATTCTACAGTGGGTAAAACAACTGCAGCATTAACTTCCAAATTGACCTCGTTTTCATCTGGAACACAAAATGTAATACTTAATTTACCAGAAATGATACAAATTAATATTATTAAATTATCAATTGATGTATGCCCAAATATCTACTAAAATAACCGGCGCAACAAATAAAAAGCTATTATCTAAACAATAACAAATACTTACCATCACTACTTCTTGATTCGTTTGGTGGAACATAATCCAAGTCTGTTATGTCATCATCTGAATCGAAGTGGAAATTTGATGACATAATTACTACAAAATCAAATGTAAACTAGTATTTAAAACTTATTTATAACAAGAAATACAAGAAAAATGCTTTAAAAAATAATACAGCTGTTAACGACAACCTAACCGTGTTCTTAAATGACTTACACCACGTTTGCACACAACACTTTCAACATTTTATAAATAAGTTCAGTATATTTCTGCTATCTAGTAGGAGGTATTGCAAGATAGACGTAAAACAGCACTTTTACAGGTAACCGTATGAGGTTAAAGCTTATTGCATAGTGATGTAAGTTCAAATTATACAAAAACATGACTTACACCACTTCTGCTCTGAGCGGCTCACATAATGATTTATCTGTTAACTATAATGAATGAACGAATGTTTAATTTTGTAACCTTTCTTTCGTAATGCATGCATTTACAAATGACTTTATTAAGTAAAATTATATTCCTGTTAATTAATTTATTTAAAATTGCACGAAACGCATACATTGTTAATAAATTATGGTTATTTAATTTATTGTCTTTTTATTCCTTATAACCCTTTCATAGTGTTTTAAACTATTTACTTTAGCCTCAGAAATGTAGAAAATCCAGATGGGTTTTCATCACACAAATAATGTTTTGAGGAGAATGTAAGAATGTTGCAGAATGTTCACATATTGCTACTACACCACCATGGACGTATAAACATAGATGGACACAGCAATAAGATACCTTTAACACACAATGTTTTGAAGCTTGGTTAGAATGTGACGCTTCCTCAATGAGCATAAGCCTGCTTGAATTTTTACTCGCGGGGATAATTATTCAGACTTTAAAAATTGGAAGTAGTAATAATGTATAAAAACAAGTTCAAAGAATTAAAAAAAAAACGAGAGTTTATTAACAAATCACGTCTTTATAGAAAAATTAAAATACAATTTTATTTGCTTTAAAATTAATATAATAAAATATAGTTGAATTCAAGTTAATTTTTTAATAGGTAATAGTATAAAATAATGCTACAATAAAAAATCTTTGTTTTCTCCTAAATTTGCTACCCAAATAGTTCGATCGTCAATATTATTTGGAAACCTACATAGAAAAATAAATGAGTTTTATTCATTTCACTAATTTATTTGTATCCATGAGAAATATTAAATTAAAAAGGTACTAAACATATATTTTTTAATCAGATGATGTCTACTTACAATTTAAAAATGTCTACTAATTTCATGAACTCATATCTTATTTAATACATTAATGAACATGAATAAACCCAATGGTACGCCTATGAAAGACATGTTTTAAAATGTAAACAAACACGCTTTCTCAGTTCCTCATCTTAAATAATGTAAATAGACAGTACTTACAAATGAAATGGGAGATCGGGATGTAAATATTTCGTTTTTTTTTTGTGTAAATGCAACACTGTAGCACCATTATTATAATATGTTTATTTCACTTTTCACCAATATCATTCAAAATACAGCCAAAATATCGAAAAACAACTTTTCCTCATCTACTGTAAAAAGTAAACAAACATAGAGAAGAGCCATAAGACAGAGAAATGTAAATACCGCTGCCATTTATAAGTAGTTTTCAGTGCTTCTACATATAAAATAATTGATTGATATCTATTATACTCTATTATTAAATGATAATGCACACTATGTGCACATTTGATATTTTGATTACAATTAAATATATTAATATAACCAATAAATTATTATTTTGGTTTGATAGCACCTGTAGAGTATAAAATACGGAGTAATATTTTCAGCGACTCGCGAATAAGAAATTTTAATAAAAAACGTGACAACAGTTGAAGGTGCTGAGAATGTGACCTATTAAAATAATTTTGACTTCACAATTTTATGTAAATAACTGAGTCCATCTGTGTTTATACGTCCATGTACACCACCCTTAACGCATATCATGGCTACACACGTTTTGAATTGTAGGTACGATGGGAAAGTACATTTGCCAGACCTTACACAAGAAATTCAACCATGCCATAACATAGATGCCTACTGTAATGAGTTCTGATATAAACTACAATTGGCACACGATAGATCAAAACATTTCTATTAAAGCACAAAAAGAGATACAGAACGTAAGCAAACTAACAGCGGCACCCAACATTTTAAAATAGGAGACCTAGTTTTACTCAAAAGAGAAGAAAATAATAGGTTTGATAGTCTTTAGGTATGTCCTTTTATAACAGAATTAAATAATTTTAATTGTAAAATTAAGTTCATGTAAACTTAAGGT